TGCAAATCTTTTGAACACATCATGGTGTTTCGCTCTTCTGAGGGTTGCCATCCAGATGTGATGAAGAGATCAGCAACTTTATTTAGGTCGAGTTCTCGTACCCAAAACTGAATGGCAACGGAGAGGGAGGGTTACCAGATGAATGGATCCACCTTCCGTCTCTTGCCCTTCCTGATGGTGCTCACAACACTACTGATGGTAACAGTTTCATAATTCTGTAATACTGGAGACCTTGCTCTAGGCTCTAGTGTGTGGTAAGGCATAACAAGAAAAAGTTTCATAACAGAGATAGTGCATACCAGAATTACATTAGTTTTGCTGTTTTCAGATGTAATATTTTTCGTACTACCATCAAGAGAGAATCCGAAAGAAGCTGTATTCGGGATTTCTTGCTATCGTCAAATTGCTGCCAGTGTAAGGTTTTATGTAAATAATGAAAATTAATGCAAAAAAGTTTTTCAGCTCCTGAGCAATGGTTTAAGCGACCAACTTACCATCCCGGGAAAGTAGAAGGCTTGGTTGACCTGGGCGAGAGCCGGGATTTGATCACTGGGACGTGCGCGTGGCGGGTGCCACTTACCACTACACTACCTCCTCCTCAATGCAGCATACAGCAATACATTATTCACAAAGATGGTAAAGAAGTCCTCAGCGGCAATATAGGTCTTGAGTCTGTTCCCGACTGGCGTTAATGTGGGCCACTGGAGTGGTTGACTAACCAAGGAGGTCGTTCAGGACGTGGAGCGCTTTTTGAACGGTTTTTCGCATGATGTGGGGTCGCGTGTGGAGTACCAAACTGGTGTTCATTTTTCCTGAACCCCTCTGGGTAATGCCAAAAATGGAGTGAAAAAGAAGTCCATGGAAACCGACTGTTTTTGAGCCTGAATGGGCTCTAAATCACTCGCAACTTCGGCCAGTTGCTGCCTATAGGGTCCTTATAAAGGTTGTACTGGTATCGATGAGAAAAGTAGTCGCCAATGGGGTCTTACTTGTGGCACGTAGTTAAGAGTCGACGGCTAGTTGGAATGGGCTCTTAAGCAATCGAAGTGGTAGCTGCGCCAACGATCGGATGGCCTAGTGGATAGCGTGGAGGATTCTCAAGCAGACGGTGGGGATGGGGGATGATGGTTCGACTCCCCTCGGCTTGCACGTTTTTGCATTTTTTATTTTCCGTTGTTGTCGCTTCCATATACGTCTGTTAATGAATTTTACTCGGATATCTGCCATTTATAGGCACATCCTAAATAGTTATACCCCGTAGTCGGTGCTATTCTGATTTCACATACCATTAAGCAAGAACTTGTCTGAAAGTTGAGCTTTATATGTTATTCGGTGCCCTGATCACGACTATGGCATTTACTTTCAGCTCTAGTGCCATTTATCTCCAATTTGGAGCCACGTCTTTCTCCCACTGGAGTCGCTATGTACATTCGTTTGGGACTTGCAGGGCCATTCTGACGCCAGATTGGGTTGACGTCAAGAATAAGTGTCAGAATCGTGATCAGGACCATCGATTACCCCTATAGGCAAACTTTCAGCCAAAAATTTTTTTTGACTTTTTTGAGTCTGTGCATTGGGTTATGCTCAAGAGTCACTTTGTTGAAGTCGTACTTTTGCTGGTTATCGAAACCCTCATTCAGTGGTACGGAAACAAAAAACTAGCAACAACCATAAACGCCATCGAAAAAAGAACAAAATAGTCATCATTCCTCCAGGTGCATTTGAAAAAGTGAAGAAATCGGATGAGTCTCTCCTCTTGGTAGGGGAGGACGACATCTTCGTTGAGCGAGCCGTCGGGGGGTCGACATGTCCAGGATGGTTTTTCACTTGTTCTGCGGCCACCCATGCCCATGCCAAGTATGAATGGACCTTATGAGCACCAAATCCGCGATGCGGCCCACCACGTCATCGCTACGTCATCGCAGCTCCAAAGTTGTGGGTCTCCGGTCATCACTGTCGACCAAATGGTCGGTCTATCACAACTCAAAAAAGTCAAAAAAATTTTTTGGCCCGAAAGTTTGCCTATAGGGGTAATCGATGGTCCTGATCACGATTCTGACACTTATTCTTGACGTCAACCCAATCTGGCGTCAGAATGGCCCTGCAAGTCCCTCAAACGAATGTACATAGCGACTCCAGTGGGAGAAAGACGTGGCTCCAAATTGGAGATAAATGGCACTAGAGCTGAAAGTAAATGCCATAGTCGTGATCAGGGCACCGAATAACATAAGCTCAGCTTTCAGACAAGTTCTTGCTTAATGGTATGTGAAATCGAAATTGCTGAATAGCACCGACTACGGGTATAACTATTTAGGATGTGCCTATAAATGGCAGATATCCGAGTAAAATTCATTAACAGACGTATATGGAAGCGACAACAACGGAAAATAAAAAATGCAAAAACGTGCAAGCCGAGGGGAGTCGAACCATCATCCCCCATCCCCACCGTCTGCTTGAGAATCCTCCACGCTATCCACTAGGCCATCCGATCGTTGGCGCAGCTACCACTTCGATTGCTTAAGAGCCCATTCCAACTAGCCGTCGACTCTTAACTACGTGCCACAAGTAAGACCCCATTGGCGACTACTTTTCTCATCGATACCAGTACAACCTTTATAAGGACCCTATAGGCAGCAACTGGCCGAAGTTGCGAGTGATTTAGAGCCCATTCAGGCTCAAAAACAGTCGGTTTCCATGGACTTCTTTTTCACTCCATTTTTGGCATTCCCAGAGGCGTTCAGGAAAAATGAACACCAGTTTGGTACTCCATGCACGTGACCCCACATCATGCAAAAAACCGTTTTCAAAAAGCGCTCCACGTCCTGAACGACCTCCCTAGTAAGAGTTTCATTTTTTCATGGAAACATTGAGAGTGTCCAAAGGAATATTGTTTTGAGCAAACTTTCTTCCTCAAAAATAGGCTGAACAGATCATTCACTGTTCGATGAGCAAATGGCTATCGATTCTATCATATCTCAGAGTCATGAATTTACAGAGCCGTAAATTACCTTGATCTCCTTGCAGGATCTGGTAGCAAAATCAGATGATGTGACGAGGAGTACTGTGCAGAAGAGCGTATGCGTACTTTCTCGAGCTCCGCTTTTCGGAGCTTTGAAGGCAAAACTGGAGCTCATAACTCGTGCGTATTTCGCTGAACGAGATTTTAGGAAGGTAGGACTTTCTGGCATTGTTAGAAGAGGAAGAGATGTTCTGCTAACGTCTGTCATACCAGGTGGAAGTCCTCTCACAGATGTACTCGAATTTGTGCGACATGTTCAACGGAGAAACAGTTGATGGTCAAGCTACTTGTATAGGTGAAAAGCGATTAAGGAAACTAAGCATCGCATTTAATAATAGGGATGGCATCATGAATTTCAGATATCTCAGTGCAGGACCTTTTCGTCCGGTTTCGTCATCGAACACTCATTTTGTTCAAGCTGTTACTACTCGAAAGAAAGGTTAGTTGGTATCATACCAAGACAGTTGCACAGCGAAATAACATTCAATCCTGATGACTTTGGTTCTCCAGCATCCCATAATAAGAACGCATTAATACATTAAATCGTGAAAGCGTTAGCGATACGTGGCTGTTATAACTACCTTGTCCTTCAGCAGCCTTCTTCTGGGTAAGAGAACCATTAAATTTGAAAGGACTCAAAAATGGCCTAGCTGGATAAGCTGATCAGGCGATGGTGATGGCGCATGCTATGTATTGATGCCATTTATTCCGAAGTATTTTTGACTCGCAAAGGTTCCGAGATGTTATGAATTTTTTGGACGCTCTGGTTGATTCGATCACTCAATCTTCGGCTCTCCGATTATTCTATTCCTTCTCCGCTTATGCTTTATGCTTTCTGCCCATCACTCAGCACTATTGTGGTAACTTTCGGAGCGCGCGCTGCGCTCCGAAAGTTATCACAATAGAGCAGTTATCGTAATAGGAAACTTCAAAACTTGTAAAGCCTTCGCCTCGCGGTTCATTGCCGATATCGGCTGACCGGCTCACCACGTTAGACGTGTGGATGCTGGAAGGTAATTGCACAAAAAACCATTGAGCTGTTGGTAAGAGGGTAAGCGTGACCGCGGCAAGCGTAATGGATAACGCACCGGTCCGGTAAGCGAGAGATGCGTTTTCGCGTCCCGTGCGTGCGTGGTCTGACTTTTGCCCATAACCCAGCACTGTTGCGATACCGTATGCTTTCCTTTTAGTGGATTGCCCTTTTTCCAGGTCCACGATTCCCTGATTTTCTAGTGTCACACTATCATATAGTTTGAGTCTAAAACTCACAACAAAATTATCTTATGCCTTTTCGGTAGTAACTCTCAAAATCATCGAATTATTGGTGTTTTGCTGTGGTTATGCTTGTTTTGTTGCATGTTCTTCGTTGCATGCTGAATCATGGGATCTGTGGCTACATATTTAGGTCGTTTTCAACATATCTCCTGCTCATCTGCTTGGAACTACTATGCTCGCACTTGTATCTCTTTATCCAAGTACGGTTTCTATTTCTGACGCATTGACTTCTACTCTTCTGTCTATAACCAACCGCCATGGCTTCTTCTGTATAAACCGTGTGTTATTACAGAAATGCTTGAAGAGGGACTTCGCTACTGTTCATCGCTCTGCACTAAGCCTGAAACAAACGATTCTACTACGAGAGGAAAAGATGATGATGTTGATGATGAAAATGAAGGTAAACCTTACTATGCTGGCCTACTTGTTGTAAAGTAGTGAGTAATTAATATCCTGTTCAAAACCACTGTTCCAGATCTTGGCGAGGAAATTGTAATTCCATCTTCTAAGGCAGTTCTTGACGAAGACCCGTTGACTAAAAAAGACAGTTTTGGTTTTCCATTGAGTATCTTTACAAATGTGAGTTTTTTTTCATCATGTCAAGTTTTTCCTTATTTATGACCATAATTCTTATGCAAACTCGATGTTCTCAGGGAAACTTGTTCCATCCTTACCTGTCCATCTCTTACTTGGATATGATTCGGTCCAAATCTGTGCGTGGTTTTGCTATCGGCGCTACAAATGCTCTTTTCGTTACCAAAAGGGATCTGATTGATGCTATAGTCACGGTAAGCTTGCCTCACGTATATGTGCAGCATTTCCTGGGAAGCGTGCTCCCGAGTTACAAGACAATCGCGCGGCTGTTTCCTCCTCGTTGGGGCCAGGAGGTTTTGCTTGTAGTGTCGGGTGATCGGTGCGTGTTCGAGCATTGAGGAAGGAAAATAAGGAAGAAGGATGAGAGAAGAAAGGAAGGAAAAGAAGGTGGTTGGAACGAAAAAGGGAGGAAAAGGGAGGCTCCGCGGCAGCTTTCCTGAAACCCATGCACCCGCTGGACCAGTTAGGGCTGAAAACGTCAAAAATAACCATTAGTCGTGAATGTCTCGTTTCTTGGTTTTTTTTTTCAAGAACATGTTTTGTTGTTCCTGTTTCTTTTAATACAACCCCAATAAAATTCGTCATCTAGACCCTTGAAAGTACACTAGCAGCACTAGATACTTCTGCTTTTTTAGATTGATGAGCAAGATATAGGACAAATCGAATTTGTGGACGCAAATTTGAAACGGGAAGTCCCTTTGACATCTGCTGATCTTCGATTTTGTGACTACATTCTTAAAAATATAGAAGAGAACAAGAAGTCGACTGCAGGTAAGTCTTTTTGGAGATTTTTACAGCTTAAAAACTTTTTCTTTTTAGTTTTCGAAGGAAACGATGAATGGCTGCGCCTACGAATGCGCGAATATCTTCTAGCGATGGGAGCCAGCTCGCGATCTGACCTGGCTGTTGCCGTAGCTGATTATGGTGCCCCCTTTATTCATAGCTGGCGATTCACCAGGTTTCGTTGATTTTAAATTCAACAAGTCGAAACCATGTACTTCTCGAAACATGTTGTGATTCAGGAACTTACCGTGTTTGGATGTTGGGTCAGCACGATGATCTCGTTGGAGTCGCTCCTGGGTAGGATTTTACCAAGATTATTATATGGGTATGGTCTAGTAATTAACGTTTTAACATTGCAGACATGCTTTTGCTGGACAGCTGGGTGTATATGATGTCTT